CTGTGATAAGTGCTTTAGGAATATCCAAAAAGATCTAATCTCATGGGATTAGTTTTCTGTGAGGTACATTTTGGAATACATTATCATAATTCACCTTTCCTACTAGTCCATAGGCTCCAGAATGGCAACTGTCTAGTCTCAGAGATTGTATTTCTCCAGTGCGTATCCCATAGTCTTAGGCCTTGGAGGGAGCTTGATAAATACTGACTATTGAGGGAGTGATGAGTGAGTAAGTGAAAGTCACCGTGAGGCTCTCTGTAGCTGACACTTGCTTCCTGTGGAGATCATTCCTGGACACCTTCAGCTGCACCCTACCTGCCAAATCCTCCCAGATTCCTTAGGTACCACAATCTCTACTAAACAGAGTCACTACTCAGAAAAACTAGAATGTTGCCCTCCGGAAGGACCATCACTACAACGAAAATAAAAGCCCGGACAGCTCTTTCCCTTTGACTCTGACTCTAGAACAGAAGAAGATGTGAAAGCAATAGTCACCCAGGCCCATGCCACCGCAGAAGGCCCTGAAGATATTTGATTGTTTGCACCTAACAACCTCTGCAGGATGCCAGCTAACGGAGTCAGAGGCCTGGACGGTGACGCAAAACAAGGAGAGTAGGAAACACATTTAAGAATGAGTCACGCTGCTACTTAACCCCCCTCCTCACTACCGCACTTGATTAGTAAAAAAAAAAAAAAAAAAAAGAATGAGTCACCAAGTCCTGACAGCTTCTTTCGTAACTTCTTTGCACAATATCCTGTAACAAAAGATCTAGAACATTTTGGGAACGGAAATGGGAATAAACTTACTTACAGCTGCTATTGTTTGCCCATGAATTCCCTTGCTTGGTCTTGTTTTTATAGCATTGCTTTCACATCATTACTCCTTGCATTGCCTCTCCACCTTTCTGGCAGTTTCTCAACAGGACACATCTTTATAAATTACAAGGGTGGATATTCATCACAGAAACTGGCAGGAGTGGGAGCTTCTAGAGGTAATAGGGTTTGATAATGATACCACTTAAAAATTTTAAATTACTTTCCTAAAGTGAAAATAAAATACAAGGGAAAACAATTTTCACCAAGCCAGATTTACCTTGAAATACTGCTTTCTAGAT